TACCACGAGCGAAAGCCATTGCGCGTTCTCCACATGACTCATGAAGAAGTCATGAACCAGCGCTGCATACAGCGTGGCTTCGAGGGCGGTACCGTGGCTGGCTTGCGATGATGCGCCAAGCTGAAAGTCGTCGATTCGGAACCAACGAGTCAAGGAAGCAGCATGTCTGAGCCCACTACGCCGCGTAGCACCCGGAGGACCAGACAGGGCAGGTGAGGCGCGTCCCGAGTGCAGAGAAGCAGCATCGTTCGGATACGGATGCTTGGGGGTGTGTGCGACCCAAAGCTCGAGTCTTGGCGCTAATAACCTCTCTCCAAAGCTTTGCATCCAATTGCTGGGCAGCAAGCCGGTCTTGAGAGGCGAAGCGCCATTGGTGGTGCTGAAGCGGTTGATGTTGCCAGCTCGAGAACCTTTTTTGCGATTCGGAGCCCACCACCTGGATTGTCGGAGGGGCAAGTCCAGCTCGAGAATGTGAGAAAGCTGCGCAAGCGAGAGCTTGGCCAAGGTCGAGGGCGAAAGGCTGAATGTGCGAGTCACTTCATTGCGTCTGCATTCAGGAGCAGCGTAATGAGCAAATCGAAGTGACTACGAAAGATGACACTCTGAGCAACGCACCTTGCACTGATGTTCAGGTAACCGTCGATGGGCTCCGTTCCATACCGGCCGAGGAGGGTGTTGCTGTAGTTCGAGTCCGAAGAGGCGTGCATGCCGCTTGCCCTACCGTGACTGGGGTTCTCGCGAGATGCTCGACTTGGCTGATGTTGATGTTGACCTTTGCGATGTGAGCTGGATGAGCTGGGCGACTCAAATGTCCCGTAGTTGGGAGATCGAGACGAGTCGAAAGCTTGCGCATCGTTGAAAGTGTCTGGCGCAAGTTCGCCCTTCGGCTCGGATGCGTGCGATTTCGTCTTTGGCGAGGCTTCAGGTGTGATTGGAAGCTGGTCGGCAGGCGTATCATGTGCGACGACGCAGAGTGCTTTGGTTGCGGAGGCGCCGCTCGTGAGCGAGGGTTGCCCCTTTGCCTGGCTGCCAATCGCGAAGTGTTCGGCGGCCAAATGGATCTGCTCCTTCTCATGATCGCTCGCGCTCATATCGGGCCGCGCATTGATGTTGCCCTGTGCCGCTACAGCATCGATGTGGCGATCCATTCCCCTGAAACGCACTCGCGGGTGGGGATGGGACTGCTGCTGCTGCTGCTGTTGCTGTTGCGAATGCGCTTCTTTGCTGGCTCGTCTGCTGGCTAGTCGATTCTCTGCTATGAAGGGCACATCGCGTGAGTTGGATGAGAAGAACCAACTGCCTTCTCCGGCTCCAACGCTTGATGAGACCCCCGTCGAGCGCCTACCTTGAGAGCGATCAGAGCTGCTGCGACTGTGCCCTGGCGTGACTGCAGGCTGCTGAGCTGCTGCCACTGCTACTCTGACTGCAG